TTTTTTAGTACCTTCTAATTACTGGTATTTCTGGTTCATAATCTATTCATAATTACTGGTTCATAATCTATTCTTTCTGGATCTTCTAAAAATTCTTCTATGCAATCATTACAGTTTCGTGCTCCCCCTTTCCTTTGGAATAAGGGTTTTTTACATTCGTTACAACTAAGCGTTATGTCTGGATGCAACTCTCTAGCTAGACATAATAAGTGTTTAGTTTCTAAAATAGTGTATTCTTCTGGTTGTCCCACGTTGTTCCAACGATGGACAACGTGCGATGGTCCGCACAGCTTAATTTTTTGGCCCGTCCAGTCTGGTGTTTTAATATAAATTGTTTCTTCACGGTTGATTACTTGCATGTACACACTTGCTATTAGTGATGCATATACTTCAAAATGATCGATGGGTCTTACTCCATCAATTGGTCCGTAGAATTCTTGGAAATCTTTTCCTTCTTGACCTTGTGGTAATTTCATTTCTATAGACAAAATAAAAATACGGATTTATAATCCGTTATATAAAATAACGGATCATATTATAATAATAACGGAGATATTATAATAATCTTGGGTAAAAGGTTGATTCTTCGTTGCGGGTATTGGGTTGTATATCTGAAATTATGTTAGTGTTTGTATTGTTTTGTGTTGTGTTTTCAGTTTGTTGTGTAGTTAGTATTTCTTCATGTATTGTTGTATGTGCTGGTGCAGTACTTGGTCCAGGATTTTCTTCATTTCTTCTTTCTTCCTTTGGTGTTGCTCCTTTTCCAAGATGTACCAGTAAATTTGTTACTGAGTCCCAAAGTGCTCCTATTAAATGTATTGACCAGCCATAAATTGAATGAATAGCGTATCCATGAATTATAGTATCAATGACTAATTTAATTGTTCTTATGCAGAAATATATTCCAATTAATCCTGCACTGGCATTTCCAAAGATTATGAATGTTCCCAAAATTTTCTTCCATGTATTTTTGACAATTTTTTCTATAGATGACTCATCCAGAAGATGTGAAAGGGATATTCCTTGTTGCTCAGTTGGACTGCCTTTAACTCCTCGTGCCATGGTATTTAGTATTCCATTTTTCTCAGCTGGGAACATAATGTGTTCTCTTAAATTTTCTAAATCTTTATTATTATAAATCCCGCTTGTTGCCAAAGAGCCAGGATTTTTATATTCCCATGTTGG